TTGAATTGGGCCCATGAAATTCTCTGTGAATTGGCATATGTACAAACCTAGTGGCGCTACCGATGCTTGCTAATCAAAGGTCCAGCAGCCTAGTTGACAGGTTAGAAAATACTAACAAACTGCCACCCCTCAGAATTTCCATCGCATGCCTTGGATTTAATCTGCAGTGACTGTCCAGGATTTCAGTCTATCCTGGAAATGCTGAGGAATGAACCTGGGAATTTCAGCATGAACAGCAAAGCCCCAAAGCCTGAACCAGTCGGCTGCAGCATTGGCATACTTGAAAAGGAACAAGCACACCTACGTATCACGTTGTGAAAGGCCACATGGGTGTCAGCATAATTAATTTCCTACCTGAGTGGAGGGACACTGTGTGCAAAGCTAAGAAGCCTGACACCCTTGTCCTCTGCAGAGTTACTCAAAAACATAAAAAGCATGTTCAGTGCACAGTACAGCAGTCTATGCTTCTGAATAACAAGGCTCAATGAATCATCTGCATACAGCTTGATGCTGAATGTCTATCTTACCATAAATATCCCCACATGAAAACTGCTGGAGGTTTTGGAGGACCACTTACATCATTTTTCTGCCTGTTGTATCAACTGTATGATTTTTAATTATACTTTTATTTTTGGTGTTATTGCTTTTCACTTATTCCACAGAAAGAATTCAAACTGCAATACAATAAAAAATAAATAAAAGACCCAATAAAAATATTATTAAAAATCAATAGTGGTACCTCAGGTTAAGAACTTAATTCGTTCTGGAGGTCCGTTCTTAACCTGAGGTACCACTTTAGCTAATAGGGCCTCCCGCTGCCGCACGATTTCTGTTCTCATCCTGAAGCAAAGTTCTTAACCCGAGGTACTATTTCTGGGTTAGCGGAGGAGTCTGTAACCTGAAGCGTCTGTAACCTGAAGCATCTGTAACCTGAGGTACCACTGTATATTTAAAGTGCCATCTTCTGTCTTCAGCCACAAATCCAGGCATGCCACGGACCACCTGGAAAAGGCTTGCATTCTGGAAACCCCGGACATCAAGTCCCCCAAAAGGTACCTCTTTATAAAGAATTTCAGAAGCCCCATCTGTGCCCAGCTTGCTCCATTATGGAGCCAATGGGGTTCTGCTAAACTGCATATAAATATGTAACATTATTTTGTCTCCAAGGGCAAGGATGGACTATGGAGATGGCGGAGCAGACTGGGGCTGAGGGATGCTATATTCCAAAACATCTGGAGGGCACCGGGTTGAGGAAAGGTGCAGCAATTTTATGTTATCCAAGCTTGGAAAGTTCAACTGGTGAGAGAACCTCTGCAAGTCATAGAATAAATGCTTATTTTCAGGGGGTATGCAAGGGTACATAGTACCAGCATCTCTTTTTTGTTGTTAAAAAGTGTGGCACTTACTGTAACAGCTTCATTGTGAGTATCAGCACCTATTTTTCTAGGGGGGAAAGCACTGCACAGAATCATAGAATCAAAGAATTGTAGAGCTGGAAAGGACTCTGAAGGGCATCCAGTCCAACCCCCTTCAGTGCAGGAACCTCAACTAGCTCATCCATGACAAATGGCCATCCAAGCTTGGCTTAAAAACCTCCAAGGAAGAAGAGTCCATTGCCTCCCACTGTCCACTGTACCACTATTCTGACTGTCAGAAAGTTCTTCCTAAGGTTTAGTTGGAATCTCCATTCTTGTACCTTGAAGCCATTGGTTCGGGTCCTACACTCCAGAGCAGGAGAAAACAAGCTTGCTCCATCTTTCATGTAATACCCCTTAAGATATTTGAGGATGGCCATCATTTCTCCTCTCTATATTCTCTTTTCTAGGCTAAACATACCCAGCTCCATCCACAATTCCTCATCAGGCTTGGTTTCCAGACCCTCTGTTATCTTGGTCACCTTTCAGCTTGTCAATATCCTCCTGGACATAGTACTCCAGATGTGGTCTGACCAAGGCAGAGTAGAGCAGTACGATTACTTCCCTTGTTTGGGACAACCATAGACTTCTGCTGATGCAGCCCAGAATAGCAATAGCTTTTCTGGTGCGGCATCACACTGTTGACTCATGTTCAGTTTGTGGTCTACCAGGACCCCTAGATCCTTTTCACATGTACTACTGGCATTCCCCATCTTATCTTTGTGTAGCTGGGGAGTGATGCTTGGGGGTTGCTCCTTGGCCCTGTGGAGTCTTCAGTGTGGGGTTCCTCAGAGTTCGAGTTTTTCCACCCATGCTTTTTAACATCTATAGGAAACCGCTGAGTAGGAGCATGTTGTCAAATCATTGATATGACAGCCACCTTCAAATATCTGAAGGGCCATCCCTCGGAAGATGGAGGAAGCTGGTTTCCTGTTGCTCAGAGGGGAGGATCCAAACCAATGGATTCAAATGGCAACAAAAGGAGATCCTGACTAAGACTGGGGTAAAAAGGAGCGTTCCTGACCTGCCCATTGCTTTAAATTGACCACACCTGCTTTATAGGAATTTGGGACCACCTGTGTCCTTACATAAGCTAACATAAGAAGAGCCTCAGGGAGAAGGGGACCAGTATCCTGTTCTCACAGTGGCCAGCCAGCTGCCCCAATGGGAAACCCACAAGTAGGATTTGAGCCCAACAGCGCTTTCCCATCCTGTGGTTTCCAGCTACAGGGATTCAGAAGCATGGCTGCAACCATGGAAGCAGGGCATAGCCATCATGACTAGTAGCCTTCAATAGCCCTCTCCTCCATAAAGATGTCATCAGCAGCACAGGAAACGTTCACCACAGCTCATCTTTCCTGCTGCTTCGAAGGAGTGGATAAGTTTCTTGCTTATTCAACACAACGCACGATGAGCAATTTCTGGATAACATTTTGCACATTTCCCTTTCCATGCATTGAAATATACATGCATCTTCCTACACAATGGGTGGGTGGGGGGGAGTGCTGGGGGGGGGTTTCTGTGGAATGCGAACTCTAAGGAACTGCACCTTACAAATCACCAGAAGCAGCCCCACTTAAACCTGGAGCCAGTAGCAATAGGGTCTCCCTTTGGAGCCTGCTTCCTAGGCAGAGACCTCCTGTAACTCGAGAAAAAGCAGAGATGGTGGGTGGCAGCAGGATTTTAAAAGGCAACTTTTACTGTTCAGTGCGTGGAGATGTTCTGCCTAGGACTGAGTCAGCATGCAATGATTTTACTGGGTGTGTTTGGAAAGTGTTTATTCCTGGGTTCATTTAAATCATGTTTTGTGTCATAAACTGCTCTGAGAGCCTCAGTAACCGGATGTCTTTATAGGGAGCATCCACAAGGCCTCTTTCTGCAAGTTTAATATTGCTTGCAAGAGAACATGCAGAGCTCCTCTGGCAATCCAAAGTCTTCTGATTCACAATTCAATATCCTCAGCACTATGCTAGGGACACCTAAACAAACACAAGGAAGTCAACACCAGCCTTAATCTACCTCCTAGTATATTTAAAGACCAATCTGTACTATACATTCAAAGCAGTATCATCCCACATTAAACAGTCATGGCATCCCCAAAGAATCCTAGCTCGTGTAGTTTAAGTTGTTAGGAGTAACCTCCATATTCCCCTCCCAGAGCTACAATTCTTTGAGTTCCCTGGGAAGAGGGATTGATCATTACACCACACTGGAAACTGTAGCTCTGAGGAGGGGAATAGGGGTCTCGTAACACCTCTCAGCAATGTTCCCAGGATTCTCTGAAAGAAGCAATGCCTGCTTTAAAGTGGGATGAAAGTGCTCTAAATGTACAGTGCAGACAGGGTCAATGACACGCACGCACTCAAGGCACTGATGCATTTAATCCTGATGAAAACAAAAGCAGCTGAAAGCTGGGGAGTACAGTCAATATTTTTGGGGGGGAGGAGGGGAGAGAAAAATCAAGGCTGCAAGGAGAAATCTCCATCCCAATCCCAACACACACAAAGGCACTCAGGCACCGTGTTTCTCTGTCTCTCTCACACACAATGAGGAGAGCGAATACAAATTACTGGGCTGCCTGGGGCCTAACTATCATGCATACCTTATTTTTTTATCTATAAGACACACCAGACCATAAGACGCACCTAGTTTTAGAGGAGGAGAACAAGAAAAAAAATATTCTCCCTCTCTGTTCAGTGCTTCTCCAGCAAAGCGGGAGGAGAAACTAAGCCCCTTCCATTTCTCCTCCTGCTTCGCTGAAGGGGTGCTGCGCAGAGAGGGAAAGTTGCGCAGTGCCTCTCCAGCGAAGCGAAGCCAGGCGAGCAAGAGGAATCGGTGTGCACCAATCCCTCTTGCTCTCCTGGCTTCAGCGAAAGCAACGCGAAGCCTCCTGAGCACAGCGAGGCTCCCGCTGCGCTCAGGAGGCTTCGAGCGAAAAATGTGGTATGTTTTATGTAATTCTTAGCAAAATATATTTTTCGTGCTCAATGCGTGCACAATTCTGAATAATGAACTATGCATTTCTGACCTTATGTGAAGATTTGCTCCTGTGCTTTGACAATCTGACAGTGCAGTCTCATCTTATGATATGCAGGGCATTTGTTGATTTTCTAAAGAAAACCCTGTGTGAATGCAACAAAATGGTTGTGTGATCCTCAACAAATACTGCTATTACAGTGGTACCTCTGGTTACATACGCTTCAGGTTACATACGCTTCAGGTTACAGACTCCGCTAACCCAGAAATAGTACCTCGGGTTAAGAACTTTGCTTCAGGATGAGAAAAGAAATCGTGCTCCAGCAGCACAGCGGTAGCGGGAGGCCCCATTAGCTAAAGTGGTGCTTCAGGTTAAGAACAGTTTCAGGTTAAGAACGGACCTTCGGAACGGATTAAGTACACAACCAGAGGTACCACTGCATTATACTTATCATAGGCATAAAAATGAGGTGGTGCGTTATTTTATACCCAGTGCAAATGTTTTTAGCTGGGCTGCCCCTGCTGGGAAGCGGGGATCAACTGTGCCTGAATCTGCTCTTGTGGCCTTTTTTCCACACACATACAGGTGAGTTTTCTGGCTCTCCTTACTTTTGATGGCACCGATGAGAGCATTCCCATCTTTGATGACGTCCTTGATGAACTTGTTGGTCCTCTCCAGCTCCTGCTCGTAACATTTGAGCCTTTCTCTGAAGTCAGGGCTGTCCAGGTAACAATCGCTGAACTCCAGCGGAGGGTGCCCCATGGCTCCTTTTTTGACGGAGGGGGGGAGGAGAAGATGATGGAAAGAAGGGCAATAAAGATGAGAGTCATGCTTCTATTTTGCAAAGAGAGAAGAAAGCCCAACCTCCCCCCACCCCACCCCGCAATTCTCCCTTTATAATCACAGCCTTGTTGAGGGAAGACGTCGAAGGGGTGGAAGGGGGGCAGCCCAGCTAGGGCGCTCCTTAAACCACCGTGGGGGAGGAGAGGAGAATACAGGGGCTGAACGGCGGCTGCTCACCACCAACGGCAATAGCGGAGAAAGGGAAGAGAGGGGCGGTACAGCAGGGCGCCCTCCAGCGGGCGGGCCGCGGGGTGCGCCGCGGGTGGTGCGCGGCCTGCAGGTCTCCCCAGCCGCTGCATCCCTCCCGGCCGCGAGCGGGCCCAGCACCGTTGGAAAAACACTGCGGGATGCGCCGCCGGGAGGGCACCTAGAAGGGACACCAGGGAGAAGTGCAGCTGCCGTGCGCCGGCCTGCAGGCTTCCCTCCCGAGTCCCGCGCGCCCCGCATTGTTTTTTCCAGCAGCTCTGGGCTGGCCGGGAGGGATGCATTTGCTCGGGAGTCGCGCCCCGCCCATTTGGATACCCGGTCCCCATGGTTGTGGGGGGGAGTTGCGTGTACACTCACGCACCCCAGGCGCCGGCAGGGGTTGTTACGCCGGTGCCAACGGCCCTCCGCACGGACGCAAGAAAAAAGATTTGGGAGCAAATGGAAGAAACTACCTGGAGAAATCTGGCGAGACGGCGACTTGACGCCGCATCAGCTGGGAGCCGGCTGGCTCTTCTCTTCCCTTCTCCCACGGCCGCTTGGGCTTCCGCGCCGGCTCTGAATGGACCCAGTTGGAGGTGGAGCAGGCGACCGCAGAAGCACTATCCAGCCCGGCGCGCAGCTGCAAGTCCCCTCCCACTAGCGCCAGAGACGGGCTGGGCTTTGTTCGCCTGCCTCCTTCCGTACCCGCCCAGCGCCTCGCCCTCTTACCGCTCCGCCTGCCCTTCCCTTAAAGGCGCAGCCCGGGGGCTTCGCGGGACTTCTCCACCGTCGCTTCCCGCAATGCGGGGGGGTGGGCTAGATGTCACTTGGGACCCCTTCTGACTTTGCAACTCTGCAGTTCATTGGAGGCGGTGGGAAGTACTGTACTCCAGGGGGCAGGGCTGGGTAGTGGTTAGAGAGCCAGACTAGGAACCCAGAAAAGCCGGGGTTCAAGGGGGCTGAGCCAAAGACTTTGCAGGAAAGGCGACATCCCGACACCATTGTAGGCGCACTTGCTCCCCAGAGATCGGCCAGCTTAGGTACCCCGCACCTGCTTGCTTGACTTTTTCCTGTCCAAATGAATGTGAGCAGGTATTTCTTGCCTATGAAATTGGGAGCAGAAAAGCGAGCCTGCCACCTGAAGGTGAAGACCTGCAGAGATTAATAACCCATTTTTAGAAATTGTTTTAGAAGAATGGTGCCTGAGTTTGGATTTGGGTTTTCCTCTTCCCTCCCCGTCCCTTTTCCTTGCGTGCCCCGCTTTGTTTGGGTTTTAGGTTGTAAGCCTGTGGGCAGGGACTGTCTTGTCCTGATCAGCCGAAGATGCTCCAAATAAACGAACGAATGAATCCCTCTTAAGCCTTTAAACTCACTGGGTCACTGCAGCTCTCAGCCTACCTCACAGGGTTATTGTGAGTATTAAATGAGGAATAGCTCATTGGAGGAAAAAGTTGGATATAAATGCAATAAATAAGTGAATAGGGTGAGAGAAGTCTTTTTTTTATGGAGTACATACAGTAACAAGCTTGGTGGGTCAGGAGAATGCTGTGGGCATAGTGCAGTGGGTTTGAAGCAGTGTGCCATGGCACCCTGGGGTGCCTTGAATGATGGTCAGGGGTGTCGTGGGCAACGTTAGCCTCTGTTCCTCTTTCCTTGCTTCCCTCCCTCCTCTGATGCTATCTTGCATCTCTGCCTCCCAAAGGCTTGCACAGCTGTTTATTGTAGCAGCTCTGGCTATAAGCTCTGCATGTGAATGGTGCCAGCGGGGGGGGGGGGTTGGTGGTTCAGAGACCAGGGGCAGCAGCAGTGGTTGCCCTGGGGACTCCCAAGAAGAGGGGAGAGGAGAGGAAGTTGAGGAAAGACTCCTCAAGGAAGGGTGTTCAAAAAGGGGTAAGAGGCTGCCAACTCTGCAGGCAAGGGGTGACATAATTGGGCTACTGAGCCCCACGGGGAGCCGCAGAAAGAATGTGGTTGGTCAAGGGAGGCTTGGTCTCAAAAAGGTTCAAAATCTCTGGCACAGTGTATCTTGATTTCAGTAATGCTTTTGTCACAAAGGCCCCCATGATATTCTTGCACGGAAGGTGGTAAGAGGTGGGTTGAACGTGGATTTGTAGCTGGTTGGCGGACTGAACCTAAAGAGTACTCATTAATAGTTCCTTGTTATCCTGGAAAAAGTGACAAGTGGGGTGCCGCAGGGTTCTGTCCTAGGCCCGTTGTTGCTCAATGTCTTTATAAATGACTTGGATGAAGGAATTGAAGGGATGCTCGTCAGATTTACAGATGGCACCAAACTCGGAGGGGTAACTAGACTGTAGATTAGAAGGCAGAATCAGAATTCAAAGATGACCTTAACTGTTTGGAAAACTGGGCTCAAGCTAACAAAATTATTTTCAATAGGGACAAATGTAAGAAAACCTCCTTTTGAGTCTTTAGCAGCAGCATCCTGCAGGGGTTAAGGCAGGGTCTGTTTCCCAATAAGATGCTCCTGCAACAGGAAAGAATCTGGTCCCAATGCTTCCTGACTGCCTTCTTAGGAGCAAAAAGGGTTAAAACTAAGCTCTAGCTGCGAAAGAGGAGGAGTCCCTTTCTAATCCCACCCCCACCATATTTAAGGCTGCAAAAAAGCTTCGCTGGGCGGGGCGGGGGGGGGCGAGGAGAAGGGGGAACCCCCTGGAGGTGAAAATGCAAACAGCTGGTCGGGACACGGCACGCCCACTCAACCTCTGCATGCAGTACTGCGCGCAAGGGCGAGTGGGAGTTGTAGTTTTTCTCTCCAGTCCTTTGCATTAGTTCAAGTGATGCATTTTGGTAATTTTCAAGCTCCTTGACTTCATGATCTTACTGGGGGGTGGCCTTTAGACGGCCGCGTGCCTCTCCACAAGAACATCTTGGGGTCCCCCCCCCACTTCTTTAGAAAACAGGAAAATAGCAAAGCTGCTGAACACACATTCCTCCCGCTTCACGTTCATCTGTTTTGACAATTGCCTCATCGGGAATGAAATTCCTACCGGTCTCTCCCCAGCCCCGCCTCTCCTACCAGCTGGCGAGCAAAAACGGAGTTCTGCTTGCTCCAGAGTGTGGGCGGAGAGGGTATGGAAGGGTCCGGCTCTGCATCTTTCCTCTCTCGAGTTCACTACTGAATCAGGTTCCACATAGCTTTAGGTAGCCTAAATGATAATCCCGTGGATGCTTCCTCCAGATTAATACCTGCTGTGTTCAGCAGGGGTTATCCCCAGGGGAGGCTGTATAGGGCTGCACGTTTAGAGAGCTTATAAAATTATGCGTGGCATGGAGACAATGGGAGTGAGAGAAGTTTTCTTACTCTCATAACATTCAAACTCATAGACAGCCAATGAAGCTGAGCATTTCCTCTCACAGGAGGCAGTGGTGACCACCAACCTGAATGGCTCTAAAAGGGATTGGACAAATTCATGAATGGAGGAGCACAACGCTATCAACGGCTACTGGCCATGATGGCTTTGATCTGCCTCCGTAGTTGGAGGCAGTAATGTGTCCACAGAGATTACAGGATGCTGGAGTTTATGGGCAAGCAGGATCTGAGCACAAGGTCACACTCCCCCTCCAACCACTAATAAAAAGGTAAAGGGACCCCTGACCATTAGGTCCAGTCGTGGCCGACTCTAGGGTTGTGGCACTCATCTCGCTTTGTTGGCCAAGGGAGCCGGCATACAGCCTCCAGGTCATGTGGCCAGCATGACTAAGCCGCTTCTGGCGAACCAGAGCAGCGCACGGAAACACCGTTTACCTTCCCGCTGGAGCGGTACCTATTTATCTACTTGCACTTTGACGTGCTTTCGAGCTGCTAGGTTGGCAGGAGCAGGGACCGAGCTACGGGAGCTCACCTTCTGATCGGCAAGCCCTAGGCTCTGTGGTTTAACCCACAGTGCCATCCGCATCCCTCCAACCACTAATACTCAGGAGCATTACAGCCTCCAAGTGTGGAGGCAGAGCATAGCCACTTTGGCTCTTTGTTTTTATCATGTGCAGGTCCTGAACCCCAGCAATGCGCTTTCATGTGCTATTTGGGAGCAATTATGAGCTTGAGCTGATGCCTGATAGCTTTTTCTAGAGTTAATCCTCCTCCATTAAAAACTTTGCTTTGCTTTTGAACCAGTTCTCACAAGAATCCTACTCTTAAGCATAAAAAGGTAAAGGTACCCCTGCCCGTACGGGCCAGTCGTGTCCAACTCTAGGGTTGTGCGCCCATCTCACTTAAGAGGCCGGGGGCCAGCGCTGTCCGCAGACACTTCCGGGTCACATGGCCAGCGTGACAAAGCTGCATCTGGCGAGCCAGCGCAGCACACGGAAACGCCGTTTACCTTCCCACTATAAAGCGGTCCCTATTTATCTACTTGCACCCGGGGGTGCTTTCGAACTGCTAGGTTGGCAGGCGCTGGGACCGAGCAACAGGAGCGCACCCCGCCACGGGGATTCGAACCGCCGACCATTCGATTGGCAAGCCCTAGGCGCTGAGGCTATTCTTAAGCCTAGCAAGCAACTTTATCTGCAAAAAGACAAAACCCTTCATCAACAGCTGGCCCATTCACCAATTGTTTCAGTTGGGCTTTGGTTGGACGGAAATGTTTTCTCTGTGTGGAGGCTTTTAACTCTGGGCTGCTGCAGATGGCCTCAGATATCTGGCCCATCTTCCTTGCTGTTTCCGTTGGAGACACACTTTGTATGTCCCTGGCATTGGGAACCAGTGTGCATTATAAAATGAGAAGTTTTGGAGATTACAGACTGTTTGCTTCACTCAGGCCCTGCAAAACTCAGCTCTCTTGGTTCTTTCCATCTCAGTTCACTATTCTCTGTAATTATTGCAGCTTCAAAATCAGCTAGAGTCATTTCCCTACCCCACTGTTCTGTGTGGAAATATACACAATGGCAAGTATCCCACCCACTCCACCCCCGGTTTTATTTTAACAACAAAACGACAAACAACCAAAATAAAATGTTGATAACCTTTCCCTCCCTTTTTGTTATAGGTTACATACAGATTGATCCAACCAAGAAGGTGGGTAATCCAAGAAACTTTTAAGTTAAAATAAAGAACTCCCTTAAGAGGGAGGCCTTTATTGAAGGCCGAAGTGTTGACTGTCAACTCTTTATTGTTTTCATTTGTTTTGTTTTGTTTCATAAAATCTATATACCGATAACTAGTTAACTGTAAAAAAAGGGGGGGGGCTCTCAAAACATTTCACAAAAAAGATAAAACAATAAATTATCAACCAGAAAAATTAACAACGATAATTTAAGACGTCAAACAGTTGCAATAACAACAGACTAAATTCATCAAATACTGTTGAATCCAGGCTGCACAATGCTGCTTGGCAACTTAACTTAATTTTGTACAGCTCCCTGTCAGGACTCCAACATAGGCCTACACAGGATTTTTCCCAGTCTAAGGGACGAAGGGTGGAGATGAGTCTGGGTGCTGCTAAAGTTAATTCACTATGCCAGAGTACAACACACTAAAAAGAAAAATAGCTGCATGTTCTGGACTGTGCTTGCTATGGCAGAGCCCCTGTTCTGCATTCAGAACATCTTAGGTGACTATCAGATTTTGAAGAGCTGATATCACAGGATCAAGGTCATAAATTTTGTTGCATTACCGTATTTTTCCGTTTATAAGACTGGGGTTTTTTTTACCAAAAAAATAGGTTTAAAA